ATATATATATATATATACCGGCTTTTTTCCATAAACTTTCAGCAAAAGAAACATTGTTTCTATTGCTGAAAGAATGTTGCAAGTTTCTGATCATTGTTGGAAAAATCAGAAAACCTTTAGTGACATCTGATCCTGAAATGGTGCAGGATCAGTGTCACTAAGGATATTAATGGCTGTTGTTAAGTTTTAAACAGCCTAACAATAACCAAAAATTAATTAAATTGTCAAGCAGTAATAGTGAGTTTAATTCATAAAGACTCTATAATATAATTAAATTTAAAAACAAATGTAAACTTTTTTCTAAAAGTCTAAAAAAAATAAAGTGTAATAAATAAGAATTATATAGTTAAATATTTTTTTTATACCATCATCAGTATAAATACTAACCCATTACAATGAAAATCTGCAGCAGATTTGTTTTTCACACTAAGGGGTTATTCTTTTTAATTCACCCCCTCATGACAGTGATGTTCAAAGTATGTCGCTGTCACTAAGTGTGACATTGTATGCCAAGTGACCACTATTAGCTTTAGCTGTTCGAGAAAAAAAAGATTAAAATGTTAGGTTTTAGTTTTAGGCTGAGTAGTACAGAAACATTTCTAAAATCCTAGGGATGGGAGGTTTTTCCAAATAAAGGACAAATAAATGAATGCATTTATTGCATTTTTTTTAGCTGTGATATTTTTCTAAAAAAATACTACAAATCAAAACTGGAGAAAAAAAGTGTTTTATTTACGTTTTTGCCTCCTTTTTTAAAAATATTTTATTTGTCCTAAGTGAGGCGTTCGGTACACATGTTTGCTATAATTATATAGCCCTATCTGTCCTCTAAAAAAAACAATATATAATATGTGTGGGTGCGCTTTGTAAGAAAGTATATTACTGACGTGGAAGAATCACACAGCAAAAAAATTCAAAAGTGTGTCAGTCATTTACGAACAGAAACTAAAAACAAGCGCAGTCATGAAGGGGTTAAGAAACTTACCTCCTATACAAAACCAATTCCTGGAGCTTTCCTTTAAAGCTAAGCTAAACCAAAAGTTGTATATATTGCAGCTTTATCAGTCCTTAGATGTGGTGGCTGTATTCGTTTTTTTTAATTACTTCAGGTTCATAACATTTTCAGCAAGTACAGAAAATACCTAATGTATTATACCCGATGTATACCTTGCAAAAAATGCAATGGCCTTGCCACTTCCTGTGAGCTGAAAAGAAAGCACAAGGAACCTTATCTATATTGTATAAAAGTACTAGTCCCATCAAATACCAGTGATATACACTGAGTGGCCAGATTATTATGACAACCCCATCAGTACTTTGTTGGGCCACTAGATGACTTAGTTGGGCCGCCTCGTGACTCCACGAGATGTTGAAAGGTGATGCGAGGAATCTGACACTGCACTGTTGCCCTTCTATTGTCTTGTACCAGTCTTGCCACTCTCCGTTCTGCCCTAACATTGACTAGTCGCTGACGGCCACAATTTGAACGCTCAGACCCAGAATTTCGGCTGACAGTCCAGTCTTTAAACACTTTAACAATGAGCCCCTCTTGAGCATTTAACGAGTTCTGCTGTTTTGCTGATACTCGCTCCATGGCTCCGAGCGCCAACAATCATGCCACGTTCAAAGGCTGTTAAATCACGTTGTTTACCCATATCTTCAGAAACAAATCACTTCTACTGTCGTGGTAAACAACCTGCTTCCCTATTGATAATGGTCCGGCCCTCTAGCAACTTCAGCGCGAAATCATAGCTAATTTGCCTACAAACGTCAGGTGGTCATAATCTGGCCACTCAAGTGTAGATTACCAAAGGCAGACATGATTGACAAAAAGCAGACATGATTAAAGTCCAGCATGGGTGGCAACCATGGCTGCCCCTATAGATACAATAAAAAAAACAAATGAGTGTAACCATGAAGGCACAAGAAATGTGTTATTCACAAGATTATCAGGTGAACATAGAGAACAAAGCCTGAAAAAAGAGAAAACTAATGCAGCTAAATGCACATCTAAGGACTGGTAGCTGTAACATATAAAATTGTGTTTTTGGCTTTGATAACACTTTAAATGCATAACGTATCTCATTTGCATAATTGGAAGAACCCTCCATTAGAACAATACATGCTGTGTGAAGTCTTAGTTTGGCTGTGACTTCAGTGAATTCACTGCTGAGACTATGCGTTATGGGAAGGCCTTCTAAAAATCCATATTATTCTGTTTGTACAGAGCCAAATTCACCAAGCCCTCCGACCTCCTACGGAAGTAAATGGGCTAAAAGCTGTAAACCGAACAGTCCTCTGTGAGTAAGGGAAAGAATTTAACTCTTCCGGTAGCACTTTTTCAAACACACGAACGCTGAAATATGGCACACCATGCATTTAAAAAAAAAGAAAAAGTCAACATGCTTTTAGAATGTTTCCTGGTAGAAACATTCTAATTGGCATAAATCATCAGTGAAGGATATTCACAACTTAATTCAGCAAACTGTAATAAGGTTTTTAACATTTACCGTTTTACCATGAAAGAAAGAAAGAAAGAAAAAAAAAAAAACCCTCTGCCCCACTTGTTTTCTTCACATATCCAAAGCAATTCTTTTCTTCTTTGTTACATTCTCTTTAAAGTAACTAAAATGATTTAGTTGAAGAGTACTAGTATGCCACAAGAAAGTATTTCCATTGGTGAAGGAACACCTTCGTTATGGTTCTCACTACAAACAGAAGTCTCAGTCTCATCCGGATTTTTCATTAGGAAGAACCCCCTAAGTACTGGTGAAAATACAGACCAAAGAGGCTGGTGACAATCTGGCAAACAGAGACCCACCAGGTCAGGAAACTAAAGAGGCCACGAAAGAAAATTGAAGGAAAGATATCTCGAAAAGCACTGAGCGCTCCTATTATGTGCTCCACTGCCATCTGAACATCCTCTGTGTCCTCTTCTTCTTCTTCAGAAGATACTGTGGAAGGTGCAGGAGAGGAACCTACAACAGGTGTAAACCCAGTTTCCTCTGGGTATAGTCCCCAGGAATAACCACCTGGAAATATAGATATTCGAACTCATTAAATAGAACTTGCTCTTTAACATTTTGGCATTTTAGAAGTGAAAGTTTGAGAACAACATGGTACTAAAATCAACATGTTATATCTAAAATGGTCTTGGAGTGCGGTGTAGGTGTGGAGATGTCAGAAAGTGCATCTCCTTCATAGATATCCCGTGCATCCTGAGGGATGACATAACCAACCTGTGGATGGGCACGGAATCCCCAGTGGGGAAGTATGGAATGCCTCTCTCTCCTTTCTTACATTTCTCTTCCCTGTCTCTATCCTCTCTAAGGGAAGAATAGATAGGTTCCCACCATCGGATCATTCCTGCCCTTGACTCCAGTGTCACTAATTTATAGTGCAAATGCTTAGTCAATCGCAAGCGATTAGAGTCGGGCTTCTCACTAACTTGTTTAACTCTTGAGCTATAAGATGACATACCCTCTGTATAGCATGGGAGGCAAAAGATACCAAGATACAGTCTAGCCTTGGACGCACAAAAAGGTTTGTACTCACAGGAGGAGACCTATAATCTGGAGGCTGTGTGTTACACGATGCGCTGACCGTAGGATGGCCTACTGTCACAATATTGTAGCTGATTTTAATTGGGCATGTGATGCTTTGTAATATCAACACTTTGTGAAGTGGCCTATGTCTTGTGGAATGTATCCCATGTTGGTTGTATTTATTTTTATTTTTGTATTCTTGTATCTTGCTCATGTTTTTGCTGAAACTAACAAATTTTTTATGGAAAAAAAATATGGTCTTGGAGTAAAATTCAGAATCCAAGAAAACATACTGTAATATTAACATTCATGCTGATAAGCAAGTAAATGAAGCAAGATTTGCACAACGCTTCAGGAATCTCGCATAATGGCACCCTGAGAAAAGATGATCCCTAATGGCGGGAAGCAAAAGTTTTAAATAAGCCCTAACAATACATTCTTGGTACCTTCTAAAGAACTAGATTAAGTTTTACAAATATAGATCTAAAATATATTATATGGAAAAATTACCACTTT